AGTAGTTAAGGTGTGGATTAGTTAAAATGAATAATTCAAAGGGAATTGAACATCAACTCGATGAAACCTTATTAAAAGAATAAGGAGGGCTTCCCTGGTGGCGCAGTGGTTGAGAGTCCGCCTGCCGATCAGGGGACGCGGGTTCGTGTCCTGGTCCGGGAAGATCCCACATGCTGCGGAGCGGCTGGGCCTGTGAGCCATGGCCGCTGAGCCTGTGCGTCCAGAGCCTATACTCCGCAACGGGAAAGGCCACAACAGTGAGAGGCCCACGTACTGCAAAAAAAAAAAAAAAAAAGAATAAGGAGAGGGCTTCCCTGGTGGCGCAGTGGTTGAGAGTCCGCCTGCCGATGCAGGGGACACGGGTTCGTGCCCCGGTCCGGGAGGATCCCACATGCCGCGGAGCGGCTGGGCCCCTGAGCCATGGCCACTGAACCTGCGCGTCCGGATCCTGTGCTCCACAACGGGAGAGGCCACAACAGTGAAAGGCTCGTGTACCACAAAAAATAAAATAAGGAGAAAGAGGAGCCCGAGACACCAGAATAAAATGGGATCAATGTCCCACTCAGGTAAGCAAGATTGATTCTCAGTCGCTTAGAGATGGCAGCTTCTGCCCTTTGTCAACTCCAGTTTCCCACAGCGAAATCCCTATCTGGAGTCTCAGGCCCATCTCTGTTTAAAAGCAATTTTTTTTTTTTTTTAATACACGTAGAAAGTTTATCAGCAGCGTATGCCCCAGTTGCTTGTCGAATTTAGAATTAAATTATCCTCCCCAACACAAAGGATTTAGTGGTCCAGCCATGACTACCTGCTCCCATGTATTCTTTTAAACCCCACAAGTATTTTCTCTATATTGACCCAGAGTCCCTTTCAAAACTTAATCTAACTGATGCCTAACTACTAAAATCCTTCCCTGAACCCTTTCCTGTAACTGGAAATACTGTTACTTTGCTTAACTTCTTTTACCAATCTTCCTTGTGCAGGTGTTATTTCCTGTGCTCTTTATCTATCTATAGTTGTTCTCCTGAACATAGACAAATGCCTTGCCTCAGGTGCTTCACTGCCTTACTTCTAAACTGGGCCAGCTCTCAGAAAATCTTAATGGAAGGACCACTTACTGGTCCTGGTGATTATAGGAACCTTACCACTTATATAATATTTGGGGGTATTTTGCCTTAGAAAGTCTATCTAGGAAATGAGATTAGATAATTGGGTTCAGAATAAATATCCAGTTTTTTTTTTTTTTAATTTTATTTATTTATTTTGGCCATGCCACGCGGCATGCAGGATGCAGGATCTTAGTTCCCTGACCAGGGATCGAACCCGTGACCCCTACAGCGGAAGCGTGGAGTCTTAACCACTGGACTGCCAGGGAAGTCCCATATCCAGTTTTAATATTGGAGAAGCCATGAACCTTTTGTGGATAAAATTCAAAGATCAGTTGTTGTTTCTCATTGCAATAAAAACTAAAATGAATAATTATAGGAGTCTTTGACTTTCGTACCAGTGATAATCTTGTTGATAGAGATTGGAATAAACAAGCATTGCTTGGCTTAATACATCAGAGTGTAATGAGCAAACTTTTCACCATCATATATATGTAAAGACTGCTGATGTAAATATTGTTATGAAAACCTGTTGCTATTTAGTGTTTTATCTGGTGCTTTTGTTCAAGTGAGCTCTCCCATTTCTGAGAACAGAACTCCATGTTGATGTCTCTCCTGCAGTTATTTCTCAGCACTGCAGAATATGCCATGCTGCTTGGAGTTTAATTCACCATAGCTGAGAGCATTTCTCATGGGTTAACATCTCTGTTGTTTCCTGTCTAATTGCTGATTTTCACCTTTTAACAGGTAAAATTCTCCTTGTTTGTCCAGCCCAAAGTACGTTGCAGTGAATATTCCTTGAGAGCAAAAACAGTTCATTCTAGGTCCTTATATTACTATTTTTAAAGTAGTATGTGATTTATGAGAAAGTCGTATGAAAACTAAAAACCCAGCTAGCATAAAGACTCATCTAGTCACGTTGGGGGCCTGAGCTAACAATAGTTGGAGATTCTGATTATACTTTAACTTTGTAAGAAATGTGACCTCTTAAGGTTACTATGCTGAGTTAGGATATCAAACATAAACTTGTTAACATGTGAATAATATTGACTTAGTTCAAGTAAGATGTTCACATTAAGAGGATAAAATGAGAAGTCTGAGTCAACAAAGTAAAATGTGACAGGTTATATTAGCAAAACAAGTAGGAGGAAGTTACCTGAGATTGTCAACCTGTACCCTTGTCATCTGTTCCTCACTCTGGAACTGCGTTTGCAGCTCTAATGTTTCCTCAGCATTTTCACAGTTCAACTTAAATTAGAAGAGTAACTATTATTACAAAGTCAGAATGATTTGAGGCAAATTTTCTTTTACTGTGTAAGCAACATGAGAATAGATGAGTCTTTAGAATTATCATTTGAGGGGGGTGGTGGTGGTGGTATGAATTGGGAGATTGGGATTGACGTATATACACTAATATGTATAAAATAGATAACTAATAAGAACCTGCTGTATAAAAAAATAAAAAATAAGTATATCTGGTTAAAAAGAATTATCATTTGGTTCATAGAAGTGTCATTTTATTAAACTTAGTATCCTCAAATTTCTAGGAGATAACTACTTAACTGTTCAGTATAGGGGAAGAATAATAGTGCTAAAAGTAACTTTCAAGTGTCATATAATGAATAAGAAGAGCAGGTGAAATCTAAAACCTAAGTCTTTCATTTCCTGTTTGGAGTTAGCATTGACCTCAGAATTAACCACACTGTCCTGAATCCAGAAAAAGGCAAACTTTGCTGTTTAATTTTTTCGAAACAAATTCTTTTAAAGATAAATAGCACATTCCAAATGACTTATCAAGAATATATTTCAGTAATGAAGTCTAGTGTGTCTCACAGTTTAACATACAAATAGGTATGGATTTCACATATGTTTTATGCATTTATAAGACAATTTACCCCAGGGAGTACAGGGCATTTTCATGTCAGTAAATTGTTGAATTAATAAATTTTTGAGAAAAATAATTTTTTACTACTTCACATCCATGATGATGGCTATCATCAAAGAGACAATGGTAAGTTTTGATAAGGATGTGGAGAACTTACCACCCTCGTAATTGCTGGTGAGAATGTGCAACCACATTGAAAAGCAGTTTGGCATTTCCTCAAAAAGTTACAACTGGAGTGACCATATGACCTAGCTGTTCTTTTATACATACATAAAATTAATGCCTGGACTTTCCAGAAAGTTAAAGACACAAGCTGCATTCACCTTAAAGCCTTGGTATGAATTAAATAATGTGTAGCAATATGCTTGAATGGAACTTCCACCAGTCTGATTGTGAGATGCTTTTACTAAAGATAAGAGTACCAAGAGTGAAGTAGCCTGTAGCAAGTATCTAAATGCCTATTTTCTCTGGTTATACTTTGAATGTTATTGTCACTTACAAGAGTGAAATGACCTTTAAAACACATTTGAAAGTTTATCTGAACTCAGAAATGTCAGTTAAGAGTACTGTGTAATAGTGGAAAGATCATTCCTGTAGACTCAAACATAGCTGAATTTGAGACCCCACCTGAAATTTACCAGCACCTTCTTCCTGTTTAAAGAAATTAATCTCTGAACCTCTGGTTTTTCATCTGCAAAATACCTAATAGAGCTGTTGTAAGGATTAAATGAGATACTATGAATAAAACAGACTATGCTCTCTGCTTCCCGCCCTGCACATACTCTTGTTTCTACTTCCGAGAGTACTTTCCACCCTGTACCTCCGCCTGCTGCGCACACACAAACACACACCTGCACAAACTGAGTTAAATCTTCTTCCTGTAGGTTCCCATCGAACCTAGGGATTACCTTATTGAAGCACTTACCATATTCTATTGAATTTTCATGTATATTTTCCTCTCTTCCCCGGAAAACTAAGTTCTTTTTTTTTTTTTGCCACGCCACGCGGCTTGTGGGATCTCAGTTCCCCAACCAGGGTCTCAGTTCCTGGAACAGGGACTGAACCCTGGGCCACAGCATTGAAAGCGCCAATCCTAACCACTAGACCACCAGGGAACTCCCAAAAACTAAGTTCTTTAAGGGGGAAGAAAAAAAAAGAAAACCTATTTTGTCTTCCATTGTATACATATTTGCCTGGCATGGTGTCTAGCTCAATAAATATTTGAAAAAATGAATTTTAGGAACATCTAGCATTATACTGGGTTCATAATAGCTCCCTGAAAAGGTGTAATATGTCTTTGTTTGCTTTCTGTTAGAACACAGTCAACTTGAAGCATTTTCAAATCTATAATATGCAGTGATTTATATGTTAAATGGAAATGTTTTCATTACTAGCTATACCTGTGGAATGAAGAGAATGTTTCTTATCTGTGTTGTAATAGACTGCTTATCGTTTTATATTTATCTTTGTACTTTGTACATTGTGTTTTCTTGTAATATTCAGATATATATATTTACTAACTTAAAAATTTATTTTACAAATATCTCAAGAAGATGCAGGTTAATGTGCATATTTCATGCCATTCTTCTCCATCTGATATTATTTAGACTTAGATGAAATAGCAAGTTTGGAAACAATGCTATAGATTTAAGAAGGCCTATGAAATATATGGAAATTAAGTCATTTTAAGCAATATAACTGAAATTTGTTCTTACCATTTTTTATTTTAAATGTCTTACAAAATAATAATAATCATAGAGAGGTAATAACTATTTTTGGATGGAAGGAATGAAAAGAAGGGAGGAGTAGAGGAAGTTTAATTGGTATGTTTTGTTTCCTGGACTTAGCATATTTCCATACATATGCCTCTCTAAATTATTTACAAAAGCTCTGCTGAATAAATAAAAGTTATTAACTGCATAATAATATGGGGATATAGAAAAAAGTAGAAGTAATGTTTATGTTTCTATAAATTGAGATTTCTTTAGTGTTTCATAATTTTCTTCTTTCAGGTACAGAGAACTACAACTTAGTACAGAAAGCAAAGTAACAGAATTTCTCCATCAAAGTAAAATAAAATCTTTTGAAAGTGAGCGTGCTCAGCTTCTACAAGAGGAGACTGCAAGAAACCTCACACAATGTCAGTTGGAATGTGAAAAATATCAGAAAAAATTGGAGGTACATATATAAGCTTTTCTTTTAAAATTAACACAGACTGTAAGCTCCATAAGTACAAGGTCTGTATCATATTGAGCTTTATAAATAATATTTGTGTTATGTATGAGAACAAGCCTGTGTCCTTAAGTTTTAAAGATCTTTTATCAAGAGGACATATCTTCCTCTTTTAGATAAAGAGGTGGAAAGAAGGAAAGGACCATTTCTAAGAAAAGGAATGCAAATTGCCATAGGTCTGTTTGTTGTTTTTAAAATACTGGCAAAAGTACCCTTAAATCGGAAATCTCATTTAACTAGAAAGTGGAGGGCTTCCCTGGTGGTGCAGTGGTTAAGAATCCACCTGCCAATGCAGGGGACAGGGTTCGAGCCCTGGTCCAGGAAGATCCCACATGCCGCAGAGCAACTAAGCCCGCGAGCCACAACTACTGAGTCCATGTGCCACAACTACTGAAGCCCGCGTGCCTAGAGCCCGTGCTCCACAACAAGAGAAGCCACTGCAATGAGAAGCTTGTGCACAGAAATTAAGAGTAGCCCCGCTCCCTGCAACTAGAAAAAGCCCACGTGCAGCAACGAAGACCCAATTCAGCCAAAAATAAATAAATTTATTTAAAAAATAATAAAAAATTAAAAAAATAAAAACACTGAATGAGGGACTTCCCTCGTGGTCCATGCTAAGACTCCATGCTTCCAATGCAGGGGACCCAGGTTCGATCCCTGGTCAGGGAACTAGGTCCCACATGCTGCAACTGAAGATCCCACATGCTGCAACTAAGCATGGGACTTCCCTGGCGTTCCAGTGGTTAAGGCTTCACCTTCCAATGCACTGGGTGTGGGTTCCATCCCTGGTTGGGGAGCTAAGATCCCATCTGCCTCATGGCCAAAAAACCAAAACGTAAAACAGAAGCAATATTGTAACAAATTCAATAAAGACTTTAAAAATGGTCCACATCAATAAAATCTTTAAAAAATAAATAAAAAAAATAATAATAAAAATTAAAAACATGGAATGAAAGGTACAGTAATACCATTAAAAATAAAAAACATGGAAATATCATTAACATGATTAATTAGCTAATGATGTAAGTATTCATTACAACAATCTTTCAGAAATTTCATTTCTGAAGAGTACTCTGTTAAGTAAAACTAACAAAATAGAGTCTCAGAAAATAAAGCCTTAGGGGAAAACATAAAAACAATGTTAAATAATACATATTTAAAGAAACGTAAGTAAAAATTGTAGATGATGCTTACTTCTAAACAAAGCAGTGTTCAGCATTTAAAACTTCTTCAAGTGCCTTCTTTGGGAAATTGCTGCAGTCATAATCTGCTACTGCCGACTCTCCCACACATTTTAGATTAGATTAGCTCTGATTTTGTATTCATCTTTTGCAAATTTTTCATGGTTTAATTTTATAATTCCTAGCAATTTCTTTTTCTTTTCACGTTGGATGGCTGTGCTTAAGGATGTGTTTGGGATGGGGGGGTGGGGTTATATTTAGGAAGGTAAAGAAGCACTTCCCCTCTCTCTGTACTGAAATAAACATTTCACTAACCAGTACTTCACAACATACAGTGCTGATATTTTCTAAACCATTCTATTCTATTATTTTTAGCTGGTTGGAGTTTAAATTGATTTCACGACCTCCTAAAGGTTGTGACTTTAGGAGGTCTATGGGAAAGTGGTATGAAAACCACTTTCCCATAGACCTACCCACTTGGTCTGTGGATGCAGGTGACTAATAATTATTGTGTTCTCTTGTGTAAAGGTCTTACATGGAAAAACAACTTTGTAAAAAATATTATGATTCTAAAAACTTTGGTTGATGAAACTGAAGCTGTAGGGGAGTTTCTTTACAGCTTCTCCTTTGTTAAACTAGGATCTTTGAGAGGACAAGGACTGTGTATTTATTACTGTGTCACCAATGCCTAACACAGCGCCTCACTCATGGTGGATGTTCAATAAGTATTTAATGAGTGAGTGACTGGTTTGATGAAAGCTAATATAATACCATTGTTTGAATCCATTTTTCTGATAGCAGAAGGTATCTTAGACAATTGTTATTTATAATGAATTTAGAGAGAAATAATTTTGTGAAAGGTAGAGATTGCTATAATTATGTACTTTTCAGTGGCTTTTACCCAGTATTCTCATTGATTTATAACTTGGGAACAGTTTGTTTCATTTTTTCGTAATTATCAATTGCCAAAAGCTTTCAAAATACTGGCTTTATATTTTTCTCTCTTTTTAAAGCAATTATTGACCTGTAATTTTGTATTTTCATTCATTTTATATATGTGTTATCTATATAATTTTGTATTATCATTATTAAAAGGAAGGAGATATCCACTGTGAAAGCTTGATATTTAATGGATTCCTAAAAGCCGTTGACCCATTTTTTGCATTCGTGTTTAAACTCAAATGTTCATAGACTGGTTTTTTCCTAAAGAATCTTTAATGTAATAGCCTTCCATGGGTCCAAGAATCAAGTTCTTCAATGGCTTTTCAGAAACTGTAATAAATTTTTTCATAGCAGCCACTCAGACAAATCCATAATAAAGGAGAATTCACTACCATGGGGTACTGAGGTATTGGAAGGTACCCCAAATCAAAAGTTTCTGACAATCTCTTCTCTATGTTATGAATGAGAATTTTAAATTGTACCTCTCAATTTAATACTACTTTTAAAGTCTCTTTTTAAAATAGTATTTTATGAAATATCTCATCTTCAACATTTTGATTCTTTATCTCTTTAGATATGCATTTTTTCTTTGTGTGGTATTTTTATTGGAGAAAGTGGGGTACAGATGAAAGGTATCAGCTGTGCTGTAGGAATTGCCATTTAACACTATCCTTACTGATCCTCTCTTTGACAAGGAATTCAGCCACCAGATTCTTAATTACATCGCAATGTAGTGAACTCTCCGAAAGCTCCAGATTGTTAAACTGTGCGGTGATTTTGTTATAATAAATTCCCTAGAAAACATTTCCAGCCAGCAAGAATGAATAATGCTAAAACAGGAATTTTCTTTTTCTGACCCAATCAGGGACACTAGAAATCATACTACAGATATTATTCCCATGTTATTCTTTCTCTGCCCTTCAAAGGAATGTATTTGGAGGGTGGGAATGATGTTTAGTTTATCTAGGGTTGGGGGAGGGGGGGTTAATTAATTTATTTATTTGTTTGGCCGCACCGTGCAGCATGTGGGAGCTTAGTTCCCCAACCAGGGATCAAACCCATGCCCTCTGCACTGGGAGCACGGAGTCTTAACCACTGGACCACCAGGGAAGTCCCTCAGGGGGGGAGTTCTGATGGAAATAATTGAAGAAAATGAGATGGAATAGATTAAAAGAATATTAAATCAAAATTTCTGCTTGTTAAAAACTGTAAATAGATCTTCCACATCTTCTTTTTTACCATCACAGGAAGCACACAATCACATACATTTGTTAAGGTGAACTTTATCATTAGAGAAACTAATAGAAAATTCAGAATAATTAAAGCAGTACATCTCATTTTTACAAACCATTTAATACAAAGTTCTCATAGTTGTATTTCCTGCAATGGTAGTAATATTTTTCAGCACTTTTACTATGTTCTAGGTACTCTGCTAAGCACTGTGAGTTTATCCTCTCACGTAATTCTTCCAGCAATATTCTGAGGTAGGCATAGAAAGAATAATTACCTAAGATCACAACGAATAAGTGTCAAAGCCAAAACTGAAATCCAAATCTTTCTGGCTCCAAACCATATTCTTACCATAATATTCTATTGCTTCTCAGGAAATACTACATTACTTATGTTGTGTTAGGAAGTAAGTGTAATACCACCCCATAATTTAGTCTGTACTAGTAAGTAAACTTTCTAGATAGTTGGAATTTAATGTAAGCATTAGAACATTCCTTTGTTACTAGAAATGTCTCCTGTTTTAGTGAATTCATTATTGTCACCCTAGTGATTCCTTCAATGAGTTACCATAGGAAAATTCAGGATTTTTTGTTCTTACATAAAATAACTCCAATTTCCATGTCTTTTATATCTCTTTTTAATAATTTTTTAGCCTTTCTTTCTATACAAAGGCATTTTCTGATACTGCCCCGAGTAGCACTTCACATTTACATTTTGATTTGCTGCTTTGAATTTTTGATTGTTCAGCAAACCAAAAATCTTATTAAAACCATGGTAAGAGTAAATGAAATAGGACTTCCCTGGTGGCGCAGTGGTTAAGAATCCGCCTGCCAGTGCAGGGGACACAGGTTCGAGCCCTGGTCCGGGAAGATCCCATATGCCACGGAGCAACTAAGCCTGTGTGCCACAACTACTGAGCCTGCGCTCTAAAGCCCGCACGCTACAACTACTGAGCCCATGTGCCACAACTACTGAAGACTGCACACCTAAAGCCCATGCCCCGCAACAAGAGAAGCCACTGCAATGAGAAGCCCACGCACCGCAGCGAAGAGTAGCCCCTACTCACTGCAACTAGAGAAAGCCTGCACACAGCAGCGAAGACCCAATGCAGACATAAATAAATAAATAAATTTTAAAAAGACTAAATGAAATAATCTCTGGTGAAAAACTGAAGGACTCATTATGAGTGTATAATTTTTACATACAGCTCTGTAAGCCTTTCTCAAATACCTGTAGTCACCAGATAAATAACCTCCACCTAGGTGAGGAGTATAGCATTATTGTATTTTTTGAATTCTAATAAGCAAATGCTAATGTTACTCCTATAACTATCACTAAGTTTTAATTTTTTTTTAATTTATATAATAAAGTGCTTCATAATTTTCATTTAAAAGCAAATTATTTTCCTCAGAAATAAATGTATTTTACCTCCTCAGTCATCTTAATTGAGCTACTTCATGTCTAAATCATTAAAAAAAAATTTTGTATCATGTTTTTTTTTGTCTTAACCGTCAACCTATTTAATTCTGCTTTTGCAATTTTTTTTCTTCCACTCTTAGGTTTTAACTAAAGAATTTTATAGTCTCCAAGCCTCTTCTGAAAAACGTATTACCGAACTTCAAGCACAGAACTCTGAACATCAGGCAAGGCTAGACATTTATGAGAAACTGGAAAAAGAGCTTGATGAAATAATAATGCAAACTGCAGAAAGTAAGTCTCCCACCACTCCACACACAGCTTTTTTTTCTGGCAGCACAAGGAACCTGATATTGTTTCTAAAACTGCTTTGCTATATTTCTTTGAAATATAACTTGTAACTTTTTGTTTGAAAGAATACTTGACATTTTAAAAATTAGTTAACTTTGGACTTCCCTGGTGGCGCAGTGGCTTAGAGTCTGCCTGGCAGTGCAGGGGACACAGGTTCAAGCCCTGGTCTGGGAAGATCCCACATGCCACAGAGCAGCTAAGTCTGTGCACCACAACTACTGAGCCTGCACTCTAGAGCCCGCGAGCCACAACTACTGAAGCCCATGCTCCTAGAGCCCGTGTTCCGCAACAAGAGAAGCCACTGCAATGAGAAACCTGCGCACCGTAACAAATAATAGCCTCACTCACCGCAACTAGAGAAAGCCTGTGCGCAGCAACGAAGACCCAAAACAGCCTAATTAATTAATTATTTTTTAAAAATTAGTTAACTTTAATTCTAGTAGTTGAGATCAAAAAAAATATAACTATGATCGATTTTATCTTTTCACTTATTTACCTCACTCATTCAGCAATAAAGTGATTACATATGCCAAGGTTTTATCTTTTCATTTATTTAGCTCATTCATTAAACAATTATTAAGTGAATACATATGCCAGGATCTGGGGATATGGAGTTCATGCGATAATTCTTGCTTATAGGTATTCCTAGTCTAGTCTGCTGGGAGAGACAAACATATTAACAGATAATTAAAGTGCTATTAGCAAGAGAGAGGCAGTTCTTGGTGTAAGTACAGAAGAGATCTTGAGTTAATTCCATGTTGGAGGTGAGGAATCCCTGAGAGGGGAGATGACATTTGAATGAGGGACAGATAGAAATTGAGGGACAGATAGAAATTGAAGGACAGATAGAAATTCATTGCATACACTGTGTTATAGACTTTGACTTTAATTTCTACTTCTTTTTTTTCCTCTTATTGTCTGTCTTCCAGTGTTGTCCCTGACTCCAAGGGAATATTCTAAATTAACATTTCACCATTGACTGTGATGTTTGCTACAGTGCATTATTTCTGTTCAGAAGTTAGAAATAATAGTGGCATTCTTATAAAAATGGGTTTAAAAACTTCAGTTGAAGTTGAGGTTGACTTTATATGGGGCACCTTTTCTCGTAAAGACTGTATTGTGTTGATAGCCCAGTTTAAGAAAAACTTGTTTTATTCCTATCATTGCCTTTTTTTTAAAATTTCCAAGGCCAGTGTCTGATAATTACAATAGTTTCCAAATTTATCTTCAGTTTCTTCATGGAGTCTGAGTAATCTTTATAAAATACAGATTTGATCATACCATGCACCTGCTTTAATTCCCCTATCAACTTTAAACAGCCTAAAGTCAAATTCCTTAGCATGTCTTTTTATGATTAGACTTATTTATCTTTGTACTTTTTTATGCCTTGCCATTTCCTATCATATTGCATTATTTTGAAAGTTCCATACTTCTGTTTCTCTATAGTTTTGCAGATATCCCTCTGTCTAAACAAATTAGGAGTAGAAGAGAACTTCCTCAATCTGATAAAAGGTATCTACAAAAAACGTACAGCTAATATTATACCTAATGATGAAATATCAAATGCTTTCCCTTTAAAGGAGAGAACCAGGCAAGGATTTCTATTTTCATAACTTACATTAAACATTGTATTTGAACTCCTAGCCCGTGAACTAAGGCAAGAAAGGAAAAATAAGTATAAAGATCGGAAAGGAATAGGAAGACTGTATTTTCAGATTACAAAGCAATCACTAACACTGATAAGTAAATTTGACAGGCTATAATAATTACACAGAAATATACTAGAAGCTCAGACTTCCCTGGTGGTGCCGTGGTTAAGAATCCACCTGCCAGTGCAGGGGACATGGGTTCGATCCCTGGTCGGGGAACTGAGATCCCACATGCTGCAGAGCAACTAAGCCTGTGCGCCACAACTACTGAGCCTGCGCTCTAGAGCCCGCGAGCCATGACTACTGAGCCCGTGCACCACAACTACTGAAGCCTGCATGCCCTAGAGGCCACACACTGAAACTACTGAGCCCATGCACCTCAACTACTGAAGCCCGCATGCTTTAGGGCCTGCGTGCCCCAACTACTGAGCCCACACGCTACAACTACTGAAGCCCACGCACATGGAGCCCATGCTCCTCAACAAGAGAAGCCACCGCAATGAGAAGCCTGCGCACTGCAACAAAGAGTAGCCCCCGCTTGCTGCAACTAGAGAAAGCCCCTGCTCAGCTACAAAGACCCAATGCAGCCAAAAATAAATAAAATTAAAATATATATATATATATATATATATATATATACACACACACACAGACACACTAGAAGCAAACAATTGGAAAAAGAAATTTAAAAAGCAATTTCATTTACAATAGTATCAAAAAACATAAAATGTGTAGGAATAGATTGAACAACATGAAATACAAACCATTGCTAAGAAAAATTAAAGAAGACTTGCTAAAACATCAATAGATACATCATGAATTCTATAAAATCAATATCGTCCTAATCATAATTCCTTTTTCTTTTTAACATTTTTGTATTCCATTTATGTGGAAATTCAAAGGACTTATTAAAAGGTCTACTTTTAATAATACCAGGGCACACCTACCAGAATGGCTGAAATTAGCAAGACTGGTTATACCAGACGTTGGTGAGACTGTGGAAGAACTGACACTTTGTTATAAAACCAAACAGCCTATCCAGTGATCCAGCAATTTCATTCCTAGTTATTTGCCTAAAGGCAAAGAAAACATATGCATACTAGAATAACCAAAATAATTTTGAAAAAAAAAGAACAAGATTGGAAGAGTTACACTTCAAGACTTAATATAAAGCTACAGCATCAAGCTAGTATACTACTGACATAAAGAAAGACAAATACAACAACAAAATGGAATAGAGAACTAAGAAAGAGACCCACACTTGTCTGATTATTTGATTTTTAATAAAGGAAGCATACCATTCAGCTAGAGAAAGGAAAGTTTGTTCAATAAATGGTGCTTGGGCTTCCCTGGTGGCGCAGTGGTTGAGAGTCCTCCTGCCAATGCAGGGGCCACGGGTTTGTGCCCCGGTCCGGGAAGATCCCACATGCCGTGGAGCAGCTAGGCCCGTGAGCCATGGCCGCTGAGCCTGCGTGTCCGGAGCCTGTGCTCCGTAACATGAGAGGCCACAACAGCGAGAGGCCCGCGTACCGCCAAAAAAAAAAAAAAAAAATTCATGTTTGAGTGGACCCAAGCAGTTCAAACCCTGTTGTTCAAGGGTCAACTATTTATATTTCTCAAAATTCGTTGAATGATAGACTTAAGATTTGTACCTTTCACCATATGTAAATTTTATTTTTAGAAAAGAACTATAAGTAATATTCAACTGTAGTTGATGATTTACATGTTGAACTGTTTGGAGGTGAAGGCACAGGTCTGCAACTTAATTTGAAATGCATCAAAAAAATAAGATGAATTCATGAATGGATACAGTGACAGATAAATGTGTGAGAAATAAATATAGTACGATGTTTAATTTTGAATCCAGATGTTGGATATATGAGTGTACACTTCTTTCAGCTTTTCCATGAGTGTAAATATTTTCTAAACAAAATCTTTAGAAAAGATACATAAATTAATTTTTTGCTATGATATTTTATAAACCATCTTAAAAGTATCTTAAAATAAAATACATTTGCTTGTACTTGGAAGATTAGTAAACTAGGTTCTTTTCTATCTGTTGACATTGGAAATTAGAATATTCCTATCCTTGTTTAACGAGTACTTACTGATTAAACAAAATTTGTAAGATGTAAGTGCAAAACATTCTTTTTTAGTACTATAGTGTGTACAATATTCAAAGGATTATCATCTAATTCAGCTGAGATGAAGATGGTTAGACTTCATTTGTTAAGGTGTAACCATGGCAAATTACAGTATCCTGTTTACACTTGAATTGCTTTTTGTAATCAAATAAGTTTAATATTTGTATATTTGAGGAGTTTCGTTTTCAAAGATCGTCATCAGATTGTTAAAAGTACAGGTATTGTCTAGAAGCTAAATAAATTTTTTTTAAATATCAGATTTCTAATTGTCAAATTGAGGGACCTACTCTCCAACCTCATCCTACTTGTAACCTCTGCTGGGCATTTGTCACATTTCTCAAAACTCTTCTCTTGCTTAAGTCACCTGCCTTTGATTGTTTCTTCTCCGTCGCTTTTGTTGTCTCTTCTTTTATCTAACTGTTTCTGGTTCCCAGGGTTTTTTTTTTTTCCCCTCATCCTCTTCAATTCTTACTTACCTACTTTCTGGATAATTTTATCCCTTTCCACAATTTCAGTTACTGGCCACAGGCTAGTGATTCCACAGGTCTGTATGGAATTCTTGCAGTCATTGAAGATGTAACATTATTTATATTTTCCCTTCCTTCCCTAAGACGTATTAATTTTCTTGTATTCTCGATCTGTTAGTAAGGTTAAAGTCTGTCTAATTACCCAACTAGCTTTTGTCAACCTTGATTCCTCCCTCATCCTATCTAGTGCCTCATCTCACCTGCATACCTACTCATTTGTCTAGAATCCAGGTTCGTTTCTCCATCCTCCATTGCTATTATGGACCAAGTCACAACTGGATTATTACTATAACCTGTAAGGAGTTCTCTGTGCTACCAATCTAGGTCACCCTTTTCCCATTATTGGAATTTTTTTTCCTATAATATCAGCATCAACAACAAAAATCTATTGGTCATGTCACTTACCTGTACTAATCTCTTAATTTCTTGTTGTCTCTAGAATAAAATCCAGACTCTTTAGCCTAGCAAACAAGACTTTAGTCCCATTCACAGTTGGAACTTGGCCTCCCTTTCTACTACTATTGTTTTCCAGACTAACTTCAGCCACTTTTCTCACAATTACTGAAACTTCACAGCTCTGTGCCTTTACACATTGCAGTTCCTTCCTGCACGTTCTCTGTGAATGTCATTCTCCCCATACCTTCCTAATGCCTCTAGCATGGGAAAAATAGTGGTACTAAGGCACATTCATATCTCTTTAGTACCATTTGCCATTTTGTGTAGGACATTGTTTCTGTAATTAAATCACCACTAGAATAGTTAGCCCATGAGTTATTAATCCAGTAAGTATTAAACTCAAATTTAAGTTGTCCATCAATATCTGATGGGTTTTTGAGATGTTAGCTAAATTTACCCCTCTTTCTTCTGACCTTAGAACTATTTAAGAGAAACAAGCGTCAGATAGGTATCTAAATGCCTGCTCTAGTTCTGATAGAGCTGGATTGGAGAAGCCAACTTGGATCTGAGCAATGATAGATGTTACTATCAGCAATGGCACATAGGATCTCTTGCTTACACTTGTCCCTCATAACTACTAATCCTACCTCTGAAAACTGATCTTGGTTCACTGTGAATAGGGTCAAAATTGAAGAAAAAAAAAAACACTTATGAATATTCCTGAAATGTTTACTACAGAAGGATCAAACAACAAATAAGTGCATATTACAGTGATAGGCCTGCAAATAGCTTCACTTACTAATGTAAAATATTTGGCTTTATTTTAAACCTGAAACATTTCTGAAAGTAGGTTTCTCTTTTTGACATTAAAATACTGGTTATTGATGAATAATGTTATAAAAATTGTTATATGTCATGAACTGCTTTAAATTTAAATTTTAAACCTTTTTTAAAGGTTTAAAAAACCTTTAGCTTTTATAGCCTTTGATTAAATATTTTTTCATCTCAACTTACAGTAAATTGTCATCGCATTTAAACGTTTTACCCATAAAACATTAACCTGTTAGTTAAAATTCCTCTGGGGGAGTGGTGTGACAATAGCAAAATTTAGAAGTAAATGGTGTTACTGTGTTTTCTGTAATTTTTTTTTAAATGCCATCAATAGATTCTTAGGACTGTACATTTTCCTCACAGAGTAGCCTACTTAAATGCATAATTTCATTATTGCAAGTTAGGATAAAGTTGTTCTTCTGATAAAATAATGAACATCTTTCCTAATTAAAAATAATCATTTCTCCTAATCAAGAAAAGAAGTAATGAAATTGAGTTTATCATTACTTTTTCAGAAGTACATAACATACATTTCATGCAGAAAGCCTTTGAACCTCAGAGTAAATAACATCTGTATTATTATGCTTTATAACAAGAAAACTTAACGTGTCATATGATGCAGTCCCTTACTAAACCTTTTAAAAATTGATGGAACAAATCCAAGCAAGCATATACTTTACGAAATAACTGTGCTGCTGCTTACAAATGGTCTGCTTGAGGTTATGCATTAGCCCTTTTAAATGTTCTTATGCTCCTTAATTCCTTATTATGACCTCTTTTATTTTCACTTCTGCCATACTTTTTAAGAAAAAAAATATTTCACATTGTACACTTCAATATTTTCCAGTTGAAAATGAAGATGAGGCTGAAAGGATTCTTTTTTCTTATGGCTATGGTGCTAATGTTCCCACAACAGCCAAAAGACGACTAAAGCAAAGGTAAAATCAATATATATTCATTTCACTTATCCGTTCAAGCTAAATGTAATTACATTGTGCTTTTTGATGAGGTACTGAGTGGAGTGACAAAATAAAGTTACTTTATTCTTAGTATGCATAAATATTAAATTGCTCACAAACACAGTAAGTAATAATCATGCATTTCATGTATTTTTAAGTGAGTTTAATGTTGGGTAGAATGTAAGTGTACATTAGAATTTTCCTAGAATTGGATTCAGTGATAATGACACCATTTTAAATTTATTTTCATCATAATTTCAGGTGAGTTACAAATGCTTTTTTGTACCAACAGTTTTCAGGTTAAAATTAATGAATTATGCTTCCTTTTTTTTTCACTTGTTTTTTATTCACCTGTCTACATTCCTTGATGTATACTTGAGAGAGAGAAAAAGAAAGAGATTGGGAGAGAGAGATAGAGCTAGCATATATACTGTGATTGAAAGTATAAAACACTTTGTGAAGACCAAGAAAATATTTAGACGATCCACTAGTTATTTGTTGAGATACTATTTAAAGTATACTAAGAGAAAATTGTACCTATGTTAATTGGTTTTCTAGTGACCTAACTCCTAACTCCTTTCTCCCACCTGAACTCATACTGCTTTGCAGAAAGAGCCCTGCTTGCTACCATAACAAATCTAAATGTTTCTATCAGACTTCTAAGCCCTTCCATGTGGCCCTACCTCTCCAGCCTTATTTACCTCTCTACCCCAGATGAGGGTAGTATATCTGTCTGCCTATAATGTCTATTTTCCACATACCATACAACAGAGCATTTGTCTTATCTCACTAGCTCTCATTTTCCATATTGTTTCCCCAGCTAGATGGAAAGTTCCTCAAGGTCAGCAACTACATCTTATTCTTGTTTATTCTCCATTGTCCCTACCTAGCATGGTGTAAGATACCTAGTAGAAATGTCTCTTCATCTGAGTATTTGAGGATTCAGAGCTGCTATCTGTTATTTTTACATGAATAGATTTAAACATTTAGAGACATTACACACTAAGTAAGAAAAACAATTCATCTTAATTCTAATACTTTTGTAGAAACTTTGGCTCAGAGGGTAACGGCTCTTTACAGCTATCTAAAGTGATGTAAGATATAGACCATTTTATGAGAAGTAACAATAGGATGCTTAGAATTTAAGTTTCTTACTGGTTACACTGAACAGATCAAGGGTAGAAGACTACCAGATATCAAATTGTAGTTGGAATGGTTAATTCTGTTTAGTGAAGATGCAAGTATTTCTAAATTATGTATTACTTGAAAAAATCGGTTATAGTCCCATTCCATTCCCATTCTCCCCTGAGTCCCTCCTGAGGGTGACCTAGGATAATTTGTGATTTTCAGCATATCTCTGTTTTTGAGCATTATGTTGCCAAGGGAGGAATAGAAATGTAGTTTTGTGGGCAAGCGACTTTTTTATCAGTGGCAAATGATTGGTGAAATGCTAAAAACGGAAATTTGAAGGAGGAAGTCCATTCTCTTCTCTATTTTATCATCTGATTCCTTCAAAAGAATCTTGGTCACAAGAAGAAAAAAGAATTTTTCTGTTGTAAGCTTTCTTTCTTTAGCCCCCAAATGCTGAGTTCTTCTAAAATTGAAAGCAATTATTACTATTATCTTACTATTTTTTTAAGAATTTCCAAAACAGATGTTGATTTCTTAATATTGAGATTGAAGATTTAAGGAACCACAACTGATTTATATTCTGAATAATCTTAACTGTCCAAATATTTCTAAAGATTTTATCACTGAGCTATCTATGTGCCTTGAACAAGTGCCTAATGGGCATGCTATTAATATCTCCTACCAGCTGGTGCCAGGCATTCTTCTCATGATGAACCAGAGGGTTATTTTGAGGAAGTGCTTCTGAGGTCATCTAAACTGAGTGAAGGGAAAGTAAGTCTAGATAGCCAAAGAGGACATTTATGCATTCCTTTGCACATTCATTCAACAACTTCTATTGAGTGCCTGCTGTATGCACAAAATCGACCAATGGCAAAGAAGATCCCTGTTTAGGGTCTGATGCATTTCTGAAGTTTGCAAAGTCCATATTTGATTTCTTAATGGATATTTGTAAAGAAGTCAATGGCTTTGTGCTCTAAGTTTAATTTATTTAAGATGAAAGCAATATAACCTTCAAGAGAATCTATATTTAATTTGTCACATTTGAAATTAAAGCAATGGAAGCTTAAGGTGAATTATAAAATAACTCAGTCATAATGGCAAATGAAATATTTGCATAATAAAGTTTTCATTATACATCAGCACATTTCAAAATATATTAAAATTTCAAAGGAACTTATTTCTCATCTGCTACACAATATATCCCATTCATACTAAATTTGATTTAAAATTTCATATATTCAACAACCAGAATTAAATATTTTAGGGTAACACTTAATTGGAGGGGATTTCTGATTATAAAAATAATATATGTTTATTTTAGAATATTAGGAAAATTACCAGTAATCCTACTGTCCAAAGATAGCCATTCAAAAATGTATACAGATACATATATTTTCTTATGTATTTAGGGTATTATTGTATGTAACTTAGAAATTTAATTTTTTATCTTATAATTTCACCCTGAACATTTTCTTATATCATTGAATATTCTTCAAAAAGGTAATTTTTAATGGTTATACACAACTTTAATTTTTAGGCCTTCTGTTTTTGAGTGCCATATTGCTGTTAGTAAATTGGATAGCCACTGAAAATTTTCACTAGTTACCTATTGCCACCCAATGTATATTATGAAATTAAAATGAGAAAATGGATGCAAAGAAGTTCACCACACAGTGAGTGCCTGGCGTAGAGTAGGTGTCCAATAAAAGTTTGTTATGTCAATTAATGTTTCTTAACATAAATAGATCACACAGTTGATTTTCGAGGTAAAGCCAATGTTCCAGAAACTTTAATGAGGCACAAGGTGAGTTTTCATTTAAAACAATTTTGTTTTAAAATTTTAATGAGACCTCTTGAAATAATTAGTGGAAACAACTCCTGGACATGAAACTAGTTTTAGATTCACTTTCTTTGATATTAATCAGTTTCTTAAGACATAGACCATAATGCTAGTTTCCAATAAAGAAGTAACAAAACTAATTTTTCAAAATTAGTTTGAAAAATAACTTCCAAAAGTGTATCTTAAACACATTATAATTGTTAAAGAAGGTTACTCACATTTTGAATTTTCAGTAGAGATATGAACAGTAACTAAATATTGCATTAAGCTTTCTGGGACAAAGTTGTGGAAAGTTAAAAGGGCATATACAATTAAAGTCGCTTAAAATAAAAAAGGCTCTTCTTGACTAAACTTGAAAATCTGAAGTAATGTTTTTGTTTTGGTAGTGATTGTTTTGAAAATAGCAAACAAGATTTTCTAGTTGCATGTTTTGGTTATGCTCTTTAACCTGTAACACTAAATGGGTAACACCCAGGCACTAATGTGGCCTTAGTGTGTGCTTCTCTGTTTGTTTTGGCATATCTGAATGTGGAGACTTTTCTGAAGGTTTTTAAACCTTTCAAATTGCAAGATTTACTGCATACTATTGATCTTTGTTTTAGTTTCTGTCTAGTTTTATAAAGAGCTTTAAGTTGAAACTTTCACAGTAGACTAATCTTTATAATAAAGGAAAAAATAAAGCAGAGGAAGCTTTTATTTTCCTAGCAAACTTTTGTGCATAATGAAATTTTGTTTTCATCTCCTTTATTCTCACATGTGTGAGTTCTCATTTTCCTCCTTAGAGAAAGTTTTGCTTATTTCATTTGGGTTGGTTTTAGAAACCTTTAAAAAGTTATTGCTAATCTACTCATGATCAACTTGAAAGTTTAAACCTATAGAAAAACTAGAAAAAAACTCATATAACTATAGGTAATCATAATGCACCACTATTTAGTCCTCAGTAACTGCCAAGAAAGCAGTCAGTGCAGGGAGCAACCTTGTGCTTTCTGAAGCTGAAATCGTTCTGGCCCATGTACCCTTTTTTTGAACCATTTTTCCATGCCATGCTAATTGAGACAGGACTCTGACCTGTTAAAACTGAAAAAGAGCAAAAAACCAAATGTTATTTCAGACCAAGTAACTAATTAGCAGGTAACTAAGTACCTACACTTATTTATTTGGAGTTTTGGTAATACTAAGAGAACCATCCAATATTGAAGGACTCAGGACAGAGCATCAGTCCTCCACTGTGTTCTGATATCTCAGATATAAATGGAGGTCGGCCATGTTCACACTGCCTGGGCTAGGCTACTATGAAACTATATGTGATAATCAGAAGTACTGACTGCCATTGACAAATCCAAGAGGATAACTTTTATTTTGAGTCAAGAGGTGCTGAGAGAGCTAAGATGTAACCCTTGGGGAAGTAATTTTACCAGATAAGAGGTGAAGTTTTAGTTTAAAATTCAAATACAAAACTATACTCTTGTGGTATTGGTTTCTAGTTGATGTAAAACTTAATGTTGGTGCAGGTAAAAATCACATGGCAGTTATATAATTACAAAGAAGAATTGTATGCTGTACGTACGTGTCCCAACAGAGAGCCTGTAAAAGCAGTGCTTTCTTGAGGAATTCAGTACTAAATAAATAAATAAATAACCAAACAAACAAACAAACTTTATCAGGAGTCATTTCCCCTAACTGTATCCATGGTTACTCATTATAAAAAAACTCATTAAAGATTTGTTTTCATAGTATGTACATTGTCGTTAAGGAGACATAAACTCAGCTAGTTGAGCAATTCTTCTTTTGTCTTGCTTTGAATTTCAGTTAAACTAAACTCCCCTCCTGTCTTCTGACTTCTAATATCCCAGATTTCTAAACAGAATCCACCTATAGCACCAAATCACTCAGCACAACAATGTGCCACATTTAAAAGTTTAGGAGGTTGAAATATGGAAGCGGTGAATTGGTATCTGTGACATTTGCCTTCTTCCCTTATAAACTTTATGCTCTTTTTTATTACTAGTTCAATGCTTAGATGCTGAGCATTAGTTGTACTTTAATATTGAGACTCTGCAACCTTGGAATATGGTTTGAAGCAATTTGAGCAAAATTCTAGCATTTGAGCAAAATTTACTTAAAATCAGTCAGGAAGGATTTAGTAAGTGCCCCCTCTGTTCAGCACACACCACAGAGGGTAAGTCTTCATTTAAATTGTATCTGTTGGGGGAAAAAAAATGAACACCTGAAAGACTATCAAGAAATATCTAAAACCATATAATTTAGCACTGTATTCTGTGCCAGCCTATGTCAGTCAGAGGAATAGAGATCAGTGAAGGCTGGCCTGGTCAGAAATGGAGGAAGTGGACCTCGGAGAGAGCCTTCCAGAAAAAGCTGGGCTCCCAATCAGTGGAATAACCTATCTTCTCCAGACTGGAGGACCAACAGAGGTACAGTGGAAGGAATATACAAAACATGTTTATGGGACATTAAGCAGAGTAGACATTAATGGAAAATAGGTTGGTTCTGTTGAGATTTTGGGAGGCCGTGATATTTTTAGGTAATTTAGATGTAGAATAGAGTTAACCACGTAGGTAAGATTTGAAGTGAATGGTAAAAGGACATAAACATCAATTTATTAAATAAGAAATACAAATGTCTGACAAATGTAGAGATGTTTAACCTCACAAATTTAATTTAAAATAAGATTCTATTGTTTATATGTAAAGTTAGCAAAACTTTTAAAGATTGATATTGCCCAGTGTTGGCTAGGGCATAAAGAAACAGGAGGTCTTGTATAAAGTTCATTCACTGAACAGTTTATTACTGAACAGATTATTATTGTACCAGGTATTCTCCAAGGCACTTAGAATACGTTAGAAAACAAATTTTAAAAAAATTTCTGTCATTGGAGAACTTTCATTCTAGTTCATAGGAACTAGATATATCAATCTAGTTCCAATCTAGTTCATAGGAACTGAGCCTAGATGCGTACCGCAAAAAAAAAAAAAAAAAAAAATGACTGACAGAAAACGGGACTGTGTCTTTTCCATCTCTGACTCCAACTGATTATTAAGGCAAAATCTCATGCCAGTTGAAAGGATAGGAATTTAGATATGAGCATATCTAAATAAGCTACCCAATTCACTGTATAACAAAAGAACTCATCTTTTTCATTTGGAATAACAAGTTCTTAGAAATAGATGTATAGGGTGACATTTAGCATTTTTTTTTCAGAGTTTTGTATGAATTCCTTTATCTGATGTTAGGAAATATTTGAAATACAATGGAATTATTTCTGTCCTATAATTTCTTTTAGAACAAAAATATTTTACTTCTTGTCATTGTAAAACATCTGCCTTCTCAGTTTCTACAGATTTTGCAATTCAGAGATTAATGGGTTAAGTCACATAGAATATGAAAATGTGATAAATATTAAATTTTTAAGTTTCTGGAATTACAGAGAGGGGCTTTGGAGCACCATCTGTTCTCAACATTATTAGCAGATTTTTTAAAGAATTATGCCCCAGTGGTTAGTAGGGATGATTTTATGATTCTTATAGCTAAACCTTTTTTTCTTAATTATGTCTTAAAAGTAGAATTGGGACATTTTACATTTAATGTGATTTAAAATACTAAAGATTACACTCAATACAATAAGTTGTGATCATCTTGTGATGATCACAGTGTGATCTTTTAGTGGTTTCTTTTAATACAGAATTGTTGCCTTTACTGTTAGACATCTGTCTCCACTTTTCAGACATCTTTTCCATCTCTTTTTTCAATAGAAAATCTATTCAGTTGTGTTTTGTATTATAAAATGCATTATGTTGTCTGAGGAAAACACTGATGCTGTTAGTTACTGTTTCAACTAATTGCCTTATTTGTTTGTAAATGGTAAATTTTTATAAAAATGAAGAAAAGCTGTGAATTGCTTTCTTGCGGTCTTTTCAAGCAAGTATCATAATGTAACTTTCCACTTTTATAGCAAGGGCTAGAAACTATTACTGTGATAATCAATATATCACAGTTACATTATTATGCAGATTTTTAATGTTACTTTCAAATTTTGAGTTGTTGGGATATTGGTCTTCCACTGTTGACACCTGAAAATATTATTCGACTCCATATTTTTCCTGTTAATATTTAAGTATTATTAGGAAATGGTTAGTTTTCAAGCACACAAACACATTTTGAGTATTTGAGATAGTATTCCTCTTTTGTAAGCATTAATTTTCTTATTCCATTCTCCTAGTGTCCATTTGGCAAGAAGAGTGCTTCAGTTAGAAAAACGAAACTCGATGGTTCTAAAAGACCTGGAACATCAAAAGAACCAAGTAACACAGCTTTCACAAGAGGTAAATAACCTAAATAAAAGAAACACATATAAAGAACCACAGTGTTCATTTTAATTCCTTGTTACTCCTTTATGTATTTTCTGAGCAGTTTTAAAATAAGCTGTTCGCTAGTATAAGATGATTTTACAAGCTATGAAACTAACTTAATGGTAAAGCCTTATAAAACAACTTAAAGTGTATGGCAAAACCTAAGATCAAAAGAGAGATTAAATGCCCAGACTAAATATAAATGCAGACTAGACAGACAAAGCTTTGATTTCTGCAAATATCAACTGGCAAAACAAGTTTGGCAAATTTTGGTAGCATTTTAAGTTTTTAACTAAAACCTCATTTTTAAAATAGATTTCTTTTTGCCTTCTTTGATAAAAAATCACTTATCTATTAAACACACTTGACTTGGTATACACTTAAGCTCTCACAGTCTTTGGTATATGATAGTTCCCAAATTATACTTATTCTTTAAAAATCAGATTCATAATTATTTTTCTTAGCATTCTATTGTATCATTTAAAGAATATATATACATTTTATATAGTATTTCCAATCTTCTTATTTAATCACTATCTAATTACACTTTATATGCTTCTAAAATTCAAGTAATGAAACAATTCAAACCAAAGATGCTACCTCCCTAGGGTTCTTTATTTCCTGAGCTTCAGCATAACAAGTTTCTCTGTGTTAATATTTTGGATCTTATAATAAAGGAACTTTAAAGGCATATATTAAAAATTATTAATACATACCATGTATTCTGCATTTGTTTTCCTACAGACCTATTCACATTTGTCTATTTGGTGCCTTCTATTTAATGTGCTTTTAATACTGTAACATTAGAAGGATCGTTATGCTCAAATTTCAAAAGACAAGAAATATATCATGTGACGCCAGTACCTGACTCAGAGTTAATGCTCAAGGTGGAAGCAGTGTTGTGCTGGCCACTGTTAACAACAGGCTGTCCAGGCAGGGGTGTGAGGGATGGTTCTAATTTGTAGCATTTGCTTATATCTGTGGCATAAATATTCCCACCATGACTAACTTCAGGCCTCCAACATAACATTACTAAACACGGAGTAGAGAAAAGATGCTCAGTAGCAAACATGATGTTTCCACCACACAGATATTGTACAATAGACATGTAAACTGAAGAGCATAGATAATAGTAAAATTAAAATTGTTGAGTTTTTGAGTATTTGGGTTTTTTTAATAAAATTTGTTTTATTAAAAATCTAAATAATTTTTAATAATAGTGATGTTTAACAACCAGCTCACAAATTTCCAAAAACTTTACCAGCCATCTCTCACAAACTGCTACAAGCCAGCTCCACTACTGGCTTGGAACTGGGTGGAACCATGGAAGGATATATAAATAAGTGAATTACTAAAGAAACAAATGAACCTCTGTTTGTTAATATATTCTAGATCCCTCGTGTTTGTTTTAATTTCAGAATAACCTATCAAAAATATTTCTCTTAAAAATATTAACATTCCTATAAACTTATACATATGTCTTTATATTGCTTTTCTTAAAAACCATCTTCCTGAGCACTTCAGTTAATGAAACAAGAATTTCTAAATGGGACACACCCCTATACAAATTGTAGGGGAGAAGCATAAGAAATTAAGTGTTCTGGTAATGAAGTATAATTAACTTTGTGTGAGGCAATTTTTTAGAAAGCTGTTGGCATATTAGAAAAAGATGTAAATATTGAAATATCTGTGATATGAAATGGTATGATACCTGGAATTTGCTTTAAAATGTTCCATGAAAAGGTGAGGGGAGCTCAATAGATAAAACAAGAATCTCAAAATGTTGATAATGATTGAAGCTTGGTGACAGGTACATATAGATTCATTATTCAGTTCTGTACTTTTGTGTGTGTTTGAAATTTTTTCGTAAGACATATGGAGAATCAGTACCCTAAATTAAAAGGTCTGTGCTGACTGTAGCATATAATTTTTCCCTTGAGATTGAAAAAAAAAGCGTTATAATTTGAAATATTCCATGGATTTTACTTTTGTCTGCCTCACAAAAATTGCTTGCTTAAATTGAAAAACAATGGCATAAACTAATTAGCTGAAAGATGGTACTATTAGATTGCTTCTATACCAATAGACTATTCATGATAGATGGTGAAAAAAACAGAGAAGGAAAGTTTTTCAGAATCTGTATTTTTTTGAGCAGGTTATATATTTAAACTAGCTTGGAGTTTTTGAGAATAATATGGAGATGAAACTCAAATGACTGATATTAGAATTAACAATAATTTATATGCTATTCAAAATATGTCTGAGATTATACATAAATGAATTGCCAAAATTAAAGTGCTAAAAAATATTCAAAATGAAAACAAATACTCCTTTTATAGCAGCTTTATTGAGTCATAATTGATATAAACTAAATTGCACAAATTTAAGCTGTACAATATAACTTTCAACACGTATAACCATGAAACGATCACCAAAATGAAGGTAATGAATGCATGCGTCACCGCCAAAGAGCCCCTTAGGAATCTCTCTCTCCCAGCCCTCTCCACCCGCAACCTTGTCCCCAAGCAACCACTGATTTGCATTCTGTCACTGTAGATTAGTTTGCATTTCTTAGACTTTTATATAAATGGAATCAATATATACGTTATGTACATACATATACACACACACGCACACACGCACACACTACTTTTTTTAAGTCTTCTTTCATTCTGCAGAATTATTTCAAGATTTGTCCATAGTTCATTCCTTTTCATTGCTGAGTAACATTCCATTGTATGAATTTACAACAACTGTTCATCCATTCACCTGTTGGTAGATATTTTGGGTTATTTCCAGTTTTTATCTATTATAAATAAAGCTGATATGAACATCCATGTACAGGTCTTTATATGAACATATGCTTCTGTTTCTCTGGGGTAAATACCTGGGAGTGAAATAGCTGGATCATATAGTAGGTATCTAATGTTTTAAGAAACTGCCAAACTGTTTTCCAAATGTTCGTATTATTTACTCTTTCCACCAACAGCCTATGAAAGTTCTAGTTCCTCTACATCCTTGCAAAGACTGGATATGGTCAGTCTTTTTAAGTTCAGCCATTCTAATGGGTGTGTAGTGGTATCTCATTGTAGTTTTAATTTGCATTTCCCTAATGATTCATAATTGTTGAACATCTTTTCATGTGCTTCTTTGCCCTTTGTTGTTTCTTATTGGGAGAAGTGTTCAAATTTTTTGCTCATTATATCAGATTGTTTTCTTATTATTGAGTTTTGAGAATTATTTGTATATTCTAGATACAAGTCTCTTATCAGCTATATGATTTGCAAATATTTTCTCCCCCTCCATGGCCTGTCTTCCCATTTCTTTAACAGTGTTTTTTGAAGAGCAGAAGTTTTTATCTTGTCCATTTTTTCAGTTCATTCTTTTTTGGACTGCGTTTTGGGTGTTGTATCTAAAATATCTTTACCTAACTCAGGGTCACAGTGTTTTTATATGTGTTTTCCTTTTTTTTTTTTGCGGTACGCGGGCCTCTCACTGTTGTGACCTCTCCCGTTGCGGAGCACAGGCTCCGGACGCGCAGGCTCAGTGGCCATGGCTCACGGGCCCAGCCGCTCCGCGGCATGTGGGATCTTCCCGGACCGGGGCACGAACCCGTGTCCCCTGCATCGGCAGGCAGACTCTCAGCCACTGTGCCACCAGGGAAGCCCTGTGATCCATTTTTAATGTTTGTTAAGTGTGTAAGATATAGATTGAACTTCATTTATTTGCATATTAAAACCAAATTGTTCTAATATCGTTTGTTGAAAAAAGACCCTTGTTGAAAATCAGTTTAAAAATCTGTGTGAGTCTGTTTCTGGACTCTCTGTCTGTTCCAATTATCTCTTTGTCTTTCTTTATGACAGTACCACACCATCTTGATTACTGTAGCTTTATAATGTCTTGAAATTAGGTGGCACTGGTCCTCCAACTCTGTTCAGGTTCAAAGCTTTTTGGCTATTCTGTGTCCTTTTCATTTCCATATGAATTCTATAATCATTTTTACAAAAAAAAAAAAGCTCTCTGTGATTTTGATTGGGATTGCATTGAGTCTGTGGATGAAATGAGGAAAATTGGCATCTTAATAATATGAATATTATGACCATGAACCCATTATATCTTTCCATTTATTTAGATCTTCTTTAATTTCTCTTAGTGGTGTTATTTTTTAGTTTTTATTTTAAAGTTTCACATCTTTTGACTAGTGTTAACAGGGTATGTGTTTTTCCGTCCTTTAACTTTTAACTTGTTTATGTCTTACAGTTGTCTTATAGGCAGCATATATAATTGTATCTTGCTTTTTTATCCAGTCTGACAAAATACAACTTTTAACTGGAGTTTGGAGAACGTTTACATTTAATGTGTTTATTGTTATGGTTATTTTTAAGTCTGTTATCTTGCTATTTGTTTTTTATTTGTCCTAGCTATCCTTCCCCCCTCCCTTTTATTTCCTTGCCCTCTTTTGGATTAACTGAATATTTTTTATCACTTTATCTCACTTTATCTCATTGTTGGCTGATTGGCAGTAGCTCTTTGTTATTATAGTGGTTGCTTGAGATTATACTATATACATCTTTAACTTATCACCACCCAGTTTCATGTCATACTTTACTACCCCATGCATAGATTAAAAACTGTACCATAATACGTACTTTCCTATGTCCCCACCCAGCCTTTGTGCGCCCATTGTCACATATTCTATTTATACATGTATAAGCCTCACATTAAATTGCTATCATTTTTACTTTATCTTTTAAAGAAGTATAATAATATGAAGAAAATGTATTACATTTAACCAAATAGTTACCATGACTTGTGTTCTTTATTCCTTTGTGTAAATCCAAATTTCTACCTGGCATCACATTGCTTCTGATTCATCTACTTCTTTTAACAATACTTATAGAGCAGGTCTGCTGGTGATGAGTTCTTTTCACTTCTGTATGTTACAAAAAGTTATTTTACCTTTTTGTTGTTTT